AATTTATTTGACTGAGTTGTAATATAAATGTGAAAAACAATGTTACTATTTTGAAAAAGTGTATGCACCATATGAGAGTAGGTTTAGTTTGTAAGTTGTAACTTTTTTCACACAACGAAAATTGTAATTTAAATAAAATATTGTAACGGATTTGAGATGAATTTTTTTGAGTTTTATTTTCAGAAATAAATAATTAGACCTCCGAGAACGACAATAATGGTTTTATTGTTTAACTTCAGTCATTTAAGTGTTAATGGTCTTAATTTGAATGAAAGTTTTGACGTTGAGTTGGAGCTGAGGTGTTGTCGTTAAAAATTATTAGGATTCCAATTTTTTTAAAAATTAAGCATTACCTTACCAAATAAACAATTTATATGATACAACAAACAGGTAAAATACATGTTTCCTAGTATTTATTATATGTTAATTATAACTAAGTACCGTTAAATTGCTAGTTTAATACAAAAATGTATATTTCGTTTTTTTTACAAGCTCACTATTGTGAAAAATTGCTGCTTGATTTATTAAAATTACTATTAGTTATTCATGTTTGAAGCATCTAAAAAAAAAAGATACTAACGATAATTTTATTGTTTTAACTATCTCTGGTGATGTCGGATCCCACTTGGAAAAGTATTCTGGTGCTGAGAGTTTAATAGTGTATTACTGGTCCACAATTATTTTGACTTTTTCCATGGTTTTATGAATTATTAATACTATGAATGTCACTGTACTTAAAGTTTAAGAAAATTATTGTAAATTGGTCATAGTTTACAAAGTATTAATTCTTTACATGTTATCTGGTCGTTTTTAATAAATTATATACAATTGCCACTAGGTTAGTTGCAAAGACAGGATTAGCATATCAAAGAAATTAAAAACTTATGTTACTTTTTGAAAAAAACCTAATTCCATACTTATTTTCTAGGTAACAATTTTTAAATATGTATATACATACTTAGAAATGTATGGATAAAACTATCAATCTTGTTCACAAAAACCTGCGCAAAAAAAAAAATGCTGCAATTTCCATATTATTTGTTGCATAATTAACACATCACAAAAATTGTAATATTTTTGTATGTCTTCACCTCTAAACTAATATGTATATTTTATATAATAGTTGAAATTATCGTTAACAATATTTATTTATATGTATGAATTTTCAATTAACGTATATGAAGAGTGAAAGTGTCAAACGTTCCAAGTGCCAAAGTATAAAAATTGTACAATATAATTTGATTTGTATTTTATTCATTACCGGAAACAATTTTGTAAATTTTTCAAGTGAAGAATAGTTATTTATAAAAAAAACAATCATATTGAAAACTCAAAAATATGTTAAAATGTTTCCGGTAATGAATAAAATACAAATCAAGTTAACAAGTTGAATTTTTATACCTTGGCACTTGGAACGTTTGACACTTTCACTCTTCATATAGTCTCAGTCATAATTAAAACACATCGCCCTTGCTTTTTTGAAATTTAAATAATTACTATAGAAGATGTTCAATGTTTCTTTGTCGATAAAACATCTGAAAACCTAAACGGCAATGACTAAACATTGTATATTATTATACCTTTCTTAGTGTAACACCGAGTAGCATGTTGGTAAATTCTGCAATAAAGGGTTTAAAGAATAAAGTTATTTCAAGTTAATTTTTTAACAACCAGACAATATGCATATAAAATTTATAATATGTAAACTATGACCAAACAACAAAACATTTTTTTTAATATTAATAACAATGGTTCTCATGATATTTATGTTTTATTCTTGTTTTTCTTAATATTATGTTAATGTTGTTTATTATGATATTATCCTCTCATGATGTTATTATATTAATTAATTACTCCTGAGAAAAAAACGGCCATTTACATAGTTCCTCGAAGTCGATAAAACTACCAAAAAATTGAATGCCGTCGAAGACATAGTATAGTCTTGCTCATTTCATAGTTTTGAGTGTTACTCTATGCAATAAAATAATTTTTTTATTTCTATTGTAAATTAACCCTTTATAACACTTTAAGTGTATATGTATAAAAAACCTTTTCCAATATAATTATGGAAACTAAAACGTTAATGCTACCGTCGCCGAGCTCAATCAATCAGATTTATACCGAGTTGGGCACATCTGAGACAAAATTGGATCTTGACGTTAAAATTCTCAAAGAGTGGATGCGAAAACAGCCCCACCTTCCGAACCCAGACGGTAAAATAAATAGTTTTTATATTGAGATATATTGTTTTTTCGGAATCATTTATTATCGTGACAACAGTGTGTTCTTATAATATAGTACACACTAAAAAATAATATATTATCTATTAGATGATGAAAAGATAATCGATGAAAAGCGACTCAAAACATTTCTGTTGATTTGTAAGAATAGTTTGGAGAAAACCAAAGTAATGTTGGACCAGCATTACACTATAAAACTCTCAGCACCAGAATATTTTTCCAAGTGGGATCCGACATCACCAGAGATAGTTAAAATAATGAAATTATTGTTAGTATCTATGTGAACATATCTATTATTTTTAGTCGCTTCAAACATGAATAACTAATAGTAATTATTTATAAATCAATCAGCGACTTTTCACAATCGTGTGCTTGTAAAAAATTACCAATTGGCTAATGTTTTTTTACTATGCATTACGCCCTAAGTTGGTTTTATACAAAGAAGGAATGAGAAGCATTTTGGATTATTACATTTATATTGACAATGTTTATTTATATTTATCATTATTTAACAACTTAACTGTTTTTTAGAATATTTGATATTAATATATGCTATTATAGATGAAAAAACCTAACCTAACTTAACTCTTCACTGCATATATATTATATTTAATTATTTTTTTTAGTTGTTACGTCCCATTTCCAAACCCGACACACGAGGGCCACAGAGTTCTCCTACATCGTATTAAGACGGAAGATGCAGAAAATTTTGTATATGATGATATTAATAAATTAGTTTTTATGTCAATAGATCTTAGAGTCGCCAAGTTAGACACCTATAACAAAGAAATAATCTTATATGATTGCAACAATTTGTCAATGAATCATGTAGCAGCAATAATACCCAGTATTAAGAAAGTCCTTGAAAGTTTATTTGTAAGTCACATTTTAAATGTATATTTAACTAAAAGAGTTTGCATGTGGTCTGTTCTAAAATAGTTTAGTATAGGCAGTATTTAAGAAAAAACGATTAATTTACCGGTTAATTTGTACAATCTTCAAATTATTGCAATTTTTTCAATAATATCACAAATTTTTTAACATAAAAAACAAAAAATAAAAAAAATGTTTTTCTTCATACCTAAGTAAAATTGCCAAACAACTCGTATCTGTTTGCAGAATTAAAATCGGACCATCAAAAGTACCCGAAATTTTGTCTGGTTTTTTGGTGGCTCTTATTGTAAAAATACACTAAGCAGAGTAAAATGTTATAGTACTCAGTAATATCTACACAATATGATTCCACCAAATACATTTTAGGTGATTTATCAAAAATCTACAGATTCGCATCGAAGCGTTTTCTTGAATGTGATATTACAGGTACTTTGCAACCATTGACTACATATTTTGTTATAGTACGTTAGCTTCTTGCTACATTATATATGTTCAGAATGGGTTGAAACTTTTAATAATTTTATATGTATAAGTGTTAATAATTCAATTGCATTGTATTTAATTGTGTATAATGATTAATTTAAATGTTAACCATTACAAATAAGGTAATAATATCTTATTTATATTATATGATTATTATTTTTTTTAGGCGGCATTTCCATTACGGTTACATGGCATTCACATAATCAATACAAACAGTTTTGTAAACCCATTAATTAATCTATCATTAAGTATTATGAAAAAAAAAGTTGCCGGAAGGGTAAATTATTCTCTATTTCAACATTTGTTTAGAAATATTTCAATGAAATATTTATATTACAGGTGATTAATCACAAATCCATCGAAGAATTGAAAAATTACATCGATCCTAGTGTTCTTCCACTGGACTACGGAGGGACTTATCCAAAGACGTCTGACGAAATAATAGGTTAGTTTAATCTGTAATAATTTTTACAAAAAAAATTTATGTTTTTACTTTAAATAAAAAAAACTGTAGAAAGAAATCCCCAATAAACCAAAAAATAATAATTTATTGTCTGAATCCAAAACGCAAAATATTCTATTAACTATAGAAATGATAATTATCTTGATTTCTGTAAAAAAAAAAATAATTATAAATAAATTAAGTTCCATATTTTGTTTATAAATACAAAATATTGAATATGATCAGAGATGGACTCGATGATTAATCCCAGATTATAGGATTTTTGTTTAATTAATTAAAATATTACAGGAAATCAGGCTAAAAAAATAATTTTTCCACTTCACGAAAAAAACATTGAATCGTGGATATGTTATCATATACATCCTATATCTTATCACTTAGACGAATTATTTATTTCCAAAAATACGAATGTCGTTTTAGCCTAATAATTTGAATTGTAAAATAATTGATATATTTTAGATGACTGGCATATTGAATTGAAGAAGCACCGAGAATGGTTTATAACACAATCGTCAATTGTTGCAGATAATAGTAAACGCCCGATAAATTCCAATAATCACTTGGATAACGCAATGGAAGGTTCATTTAGGAAATTAGATGTCGATTAGTAACGATTCATTGTCAGTGAAAATAAATAAGCTTATTCTTAAGGGAACATCATGCGTTATAGTTGTACATGCATGATGTTATTTTGGCAATAGATTTATTTTGGTGTACTTAAATTTTAAATTTTTCTGGTGAAAGAGTATTTTGTTATTCTAAAATAATAGTGTAATTTTATGTGGTGTAACAAATTATGTGTTGGGT